CCCACCTCTGCACCTTCTCCACCGACTCCCACTGATGACTGCTGTCGTTGTGTCCTTGGGCAAGACACTTAACCCCACTTTGCCCAAAGCCCCCACTGAAAGATCAAGGCTATGCTCACACTCAGAGAGCAGCCGTCCTCCTGTGGACTCACCACCTGCAGAGGGTCAGTGAGGGGCTGGTGCTATGAGACTTGGGTGGCATCTCTGACTGCCACCCCCCTGACCCAGAAATGGATTAAAGGGTAGAAAATGGATGGATGGATGGAGGATTAAACCAGGACTAACAACGAGGGACACAGTGTGAACATATTCCTCCAGCCTCATCGCCCGGTGACTGTAAACAAGGCTGCTAAGGTTGGTTAGCCCACACGACAAATATATTTATTTAGGTTAAAAAAAAAAAAACTCAATATATATCGTTATCGACCGATATGAATGACTTATATTGTGATATAGTTTTCAGCCATATCGCCCAGCCCTAAGCAATATACACTCCCAGGGTTAGGACCAAGCACCCTGGCTGTAATCCCCCACCTGGTACACTTACCAGAAGGGGCACTGCCACTACCATGGGGTGCATCTGGATGAATGGTTGAAGGTTCTCCGCTTGAAGTTTCTTTTAGCCCGTCCGTTTGTGAGAGGATCTCTACTGCTCTCCCTGTCGCACAGAAAATAAAAATAAAAGTGGCCTTTAGGGGAAAAAAAATTATACATATTTTAATAATATCAAGAATTACCTTCAGGCTCAATTTGTATCTGGTCGAGGCTCTTTCCTTTGAATTCCGTCACTCTTCCCTGCTCCATGGCCATCAACACTTTGCTGATTTTGGCCAGCTCCAGTGTCCCCTCTGGTAGTCTGTAATATTGCCTGTGGATGCGAATGTCATGGCCGAGGAAGTTGGCAAGTATGTCCATCTCATTCTCTTTCATATTGAGAACTGTAGACATAGTAGCTATGTGCTTTCTAAGTTTGGTTGAGGATAGCATCTCTGGATGCACCGCACCACATTCTTTGGCTACCTGGCGTAGGGAGTCTGATCCCCTGATGTGGGTGTCTGCGCCCGGGCGGGAGAAGAAGTATGGGTTATGGTCAGAGATGGAACAGGCCCTTCTGTTCTCCACCAGCACCTCCATCCAAGCAATCATTTCAGGAGTCAAAAGAACCGGCACTTTCCCACTTCTTTTCCCTTTAATTTCAATGCGTTGAAAATGCTGACACAGCTTTTTCTCAAGTTGGGACAGTCCCAGAGCAATGTCAGAATGGATCCCAGTCTTACTTCTTAAGGTAAAGGCTGTCAGTGGCATCTTTGAAACCTCACCTTCCCTTCTTCGATTGAAAATAATGACCTCACAAAGAGTCAAAACTGCCAGTTTAGACCAATGCTTAGACGTTGGCTCACTTATTAGGGTTTGCACATATTCAGGTCGACATACCTCAATATGTGCATGCATGGCTCTAACGTCCTCAGTCAGAGGGAGCAGGTCCGGAGTGTTCCACTTGGCTTGCCGGAGGGTCTGTAGGGCAGCAGAAGAAACACAGACGTCCCACCTCTTCTCAAAAAGCAGCCGGCTTCGTTGGAGGTTTTTAATAAATAGTTCATCAACACAATGCTCATTTTTGAGTCACATTCAAGAATATCTGCTAGCTTTCTGAGGCTATGGCCGAGTTTGAGGGCCAAGGATGGAGTCTTGTATTGATTTGTTTCCTCATCATATCCAGCCACAGACCTGACTGCATCAATCACATGGTTAAAGTTGGAAGGAATAAAGAAATCCTTCATTGTTTTCAGTTTCCCTGCAGTTTTTGCTTCGTTAATTAACCTACCGACTTCTCTCATTTTCTGCCTAATGTAATCATGCTTAGTCTTATCATGCCCGTGTTTTAAGTACAGGTGCTCTCCGAGTCTCAGAATCCCCTTTTCTGCTTTGACAACACCCGTGACCTCATCCTGATGCATTGCCGAAATTAAAGACCACAGCTTTTTGCTGATGCCCTCCGGTACAGGCTGGGCTAGGGAGCAGAGGGACTGGACCCTACTTCTACCTGGTTTAGCCTGGTTTAGCCTGGGCATCTTTCTGTGAAAGCCGGCACCTGGCCACATGCCTCCACAGCGACTTTCGCTTAAGCAATGCCCCACAGTCTATACAGTGCAAAAACTCACTGGATTTAACTGGGGAATTTGGCTGTTTAGCTGGGACTAAAGTTCCAATGCCGGCCTTTAAAACCTCAACATTGTGCTCACGGTTTCCACTATTCCTGATCAAATCAAACTGAAGTTTACGTGCTTTAGATTTCACAGGTAGAGCCAATGCTCTGGCTACGTCACTTTCATTTCCATGTTTTCTAGTCAAATGACGGGACATTTTGTGGCAGGACATTGAACAGTAGAGGCAGAAGTGTCTCTTGCTGTAAACTCTGCCCCCATTTTTCTTCTTTTGCAGCTGCATGATAACAATCTTATTTGCCTTTGGTTCGTCACTTTCCGAGTCTTGAAGAAAAGTGTTTTTGATTTTTCTTTTTCCATACTTTTTTACAGGTTTCTTCTTGACAGTTAAATCGTCAGAATCTGAGTCGACTTCATCAATTAGGGACTCTTGACTAAGCTGCACAAACAACAAATAATTAGTAATAATTCTATATAACAATTTGAAGTCATGACTTGTAGTCAGCACTTACCAGTGGTTTGTAAGCGTGCGCTTCAGTGTGCTGCTCTGTGATTGGCTGCAGCCTAATGAACCACACACTTGCACCTTTTCTAGCCTGACACCTGACTTCCTCTGTTGTGCTGCTCCATGATTGGCTCCAGCCTCTGTTGTGCTGCTCCATGATTGGCTCCAGCCTGCTGGACTGAAATTGCCCCAGTGTGCCCCTCCTTGATATCCCGCAACCCACCACCAGGGTTCCGACACATAACACACTTTTTTCAGGAAAGTAAACCTCCAGGGGTCCTTTCCATATTTTTACAGAGACTGCATAAGGACCGTTAGAAAAGCATTACCCATTGATTATTAAGCTTGGACCAGTGGGGTCCGGTGTTCGGGCCCCACCACGTAAAACCAGTCCCCATGACGTGAGTGGAATCTCAGGTTATGGAACCCACCAGGAGTTGAAAACAAGTGCACACACACACACACACACACACACAGACACACACACACACACATACACAGAGATACACACACACACACACAGACATACACACACACACACACACACACACACACAGAGAGAGATACACTTTTATTTATATTTCACAAAAAATCCACTTAAACGGTTTCAGAAAAACAATACACAAATTCTGGAATGGCCTTCCTCTGTTCTCGCTCTGGTCTCTCTTTGGTCTCTCTCTCTGGTCTCTCTCTCTGGTCTCTCTCTGGTCTCTCTCCCTAGTCTCACTCTGGTCTCTCTCTAGTCTCTCCCTCTGGTCTCTCTCTGGTCTCTCTCTCGTCTCTCTCCCTAGTTTCTCTCTGGTCTCTCTCTAGTCTCTCCCTTTGGTCTTTCTCTGGTCTCTCTCTGGTCTCTCTCTCTGGTCTCTCTCTAGTCTCTCTCTGGTCTCTCTCTCTGGTCTCTCTCTGGTCTCTCTCTAGTCTCTCTCTAGTCTCTCTCTAGTCTCTCTCTGGTCTCTCTGTCTCTCTCTGGTCTCTCTCTCTGGTCTCTCTCTGGTCTCTCTCTCTGGTCTCTCTCTGGTCTCTCTCTCTGGTCTCTCTCTGGTCTCTCTCTCTGGTCTCTCTCTCTCTGGTCTCTCTCTCTGGTCTCTCTCTGGTCTCTCTCTGGTCTCTGGTCTCTCTCTGGTCTCTCTCTGGTCTTCTCTCTGGTCTCTCTCTCTGTCTCTCTCTGTCTCTCTCTCTCTGGTCTCTCTCTGGTCTCTCTCTCTGGTCTCTCTCTGGTCTCTCTCTGGCTCTCTCTCTGGTCTCTCTCTCTGGTCTCTCTCTGGTCTCTCTCTGGTCTCTCTCTGGTCTCTCTCTCTGGTCCTCTCTGGTCTCTCTCTCTGGTCTCTCTCTGGTCTCTCTTTCTGGTCTCTCTCTGGTCTCTCTCTCTGGTCTCTCTCTCTGGTCTCCTCTGGTCTCCTCTGGTCTCTCTCTGGTCTCTCTCTCTGGTCTCTCTCTCTGGTCTCTCTCTCTGGTCTCTCTCTGGTCTCTCTCTCTGGTCTCTCTCTCTCTGGTCTCTCTCTCTGGTCTCTCTCTGGTCTCTCTCTGGTCTCTCTCTGGTCTCTCTCTCTGGTCTCTCTCTGGTCTCTCTCTGGTCTCTCTCTGGTCTCTCTCTGGTCTCTCTCTGGTCTCTCTCTGGTCTCTCTCTGGTCTCTCTCTGGTCTCTCTCTGGTCTCTCTCTGGTCTCTCTCTCTGGTCTCTCTCTCTGGTCTCTCTCTCTGGTCTCTCTCTGGTCTCTCTCTGGTCTCTCTCTGGTCTCTCTCTCTGGTCTCTCTCTGGTCTCTCTCTGGTCTCTCTCTGGTCTCTCTCTGGTCTCTCTCTGGTCTCTCTCTGGTTCTCCCTCTGGTCTCTCTCTGGTCTCTCTCTGGTCTCTCTCTCTCTGGTCTCTCTCTGGTCTCTCTCTGGTCTCTCTCTGGTCTCTCTCTCTGGTCTCTCTCTCTCTGGTCTCTCTCTCTGGTCTCTCTCTGGTCTCTCTCTCTGGTCTCTCTCTGGTCTCTCTCTGGTCTCTCTCTCTGGTCTCTCTCTGGTCTCTCTCTTGTCTCTCTCTCTGGTCTCTCTCTGGTCTCTCTCTGGTCTCTCTCTGGTCTCTCTCTGGTCTCTCTCTGGTCTCTCTCTGGTCTCTCTCTGGTCTCTCTCTGGTCTCTCTCTGGTCTCTCTCTGGTCTCTCTCTGGTCTCTCTCTGGTCTCTCTCTGGTCTCTCTCTGTTCTGCATCTGACCAATGTTTAATGTTAAAGTATTTATGTCAGATTTAGTCTCATCGTAAATGCAGTTTAGTAAAACACATTTCTTACCTGTTCTGTTGATGGTTGAACCATGGACCCAGAGTAACATGGTCTTTCTCTCCACACAGATCCTCAGTGTCCAGTGCTGTGTCCCTGAAGAGTGACCGGTCTATGTGGTTTCCACCAGAGTTCAGTCTTGAAGCTGCTTCTTCAAAACCACAGTGAGAACAAAGGAAACACTAACACTGATCTGACTTTAGATTACATTTATATTTAAAGTTTACGACTGGACAGAGTGAGGCTTAGTCATAGAATCACCAGTGGATTAAACATGAACATCACATGTGAAAAGAGGGTTCATGGTCCATGACCATGGAACGTGTGTATTTTAGTAATGTGCTTTTGTGAAATAAAGTGTATATTGTTGCACATTTGACCTTGTAGTGAGAGCTGCATGTGCTCATGGTGCTTCAGTCTCATCACAGTGGTCTGTACCATGCTTTAGGATCCAGTGTTTAGGAGGTGTTCTCTGCTGTGGGACCCCCGCACCAGAAAACATACAGAACCATTGATCCTGGAGCTCTGTAGACACAGATCAGAAGGTACCATCTGACCACAGCTACACTACGAGGTCAAACACACAACAACATCACCTTTACTACACACAAAGTCTCATCAATGTTATTTATATACTTTTAATAAACCATTACAGCTCTAATATCCAATGTTTTTGTCCAGAGAAAAGTCACTGCTGGACTCCAGCCCCAGGGCCCAAGACCTCAGGGCCCAAGACCTCAGGGCCCAAGACCTCAGGGCCCAAGACCTCAGGGCCCAAGACCTCAGGGCCCAAGACCTCAGGGCCCAAGACCTCAGGCCCAAGACCTCAGGGCCCAAGACCTCAGGGCCCAAGACCTCAGGGCCCAAGACCTCAGGGCCCAAGACCTCAGGGCCCAAGACCTCAGGGCCCAAGACCTCAGGGCCCAAGACCTCAGAGCGACACAAGGTTTGTCTGTTTCCCTGTTTATGACCAGAGGTAGAAAACACACAATGCACTCAGTTCAAAGAACTGTTGTTACTTTGTAATTGTTTTACTGCAGTAAATGTTTCCATCTAGGATTTATAATGTGAGCGACAGTTACAGGATATAAACAAATGCAAGTAAAGGCTTTAAAGATAGTCTTTTTTCTCCATCTAACGTTGAGATCATATTTTACAGTCAACTCTCGAGCGCCACGCAGTTAAAGTAGCAACGATATTAGTATCACCTGTGAGATCACAAACTCGATCCTCACGTCCTTTTTGTCTCTTATGTTTGTGTGTGTTTGAAGATGGTGCATTCACACGGAGCGACTTCCAGCCTCATGGACATTTATAGGTCACATTCTAAGCCTTTAAACCACAACTATTCACAAATATAGTGGAGGAGAATATTCTTAAGGTCTCATTTAGATGTTTTTCATTTGGAACAAGTGTAAAAATACTGAGTCTGTACCTTTAACATCTCCTCAATTATAGAAACATTTCCTCCTGTTTAATCTGAATATAACGATACGTGGACAAACCAGTCTGACACCTGCTCCTGAAAGTATTCCACCTCTTTCACTTTTATATCATTTTCAACAGTGAAGCACGATATATTGGTATAAATATCGATATCAGCCGATGTTCATCAATCCATGTTCAGGCTTGCTAGTGGATACTCGATTACAGAACTATAAATCATCTTTATGAAACACAACAATATTATTATAGCATGAAATGTACCACTTTTAATCCGAGTAGAGTAGAGCAGAGTACAGAGCAGAGTAGAGTAGAGCAGAGTACAGAGCAGAGTAGAGTAGAGCAGAGTACAGAGCAGAGTAGAGTAGAGCAGAGTACAGAGCAGAGTAGAGCAGAGTACAGTACAGAGTAGAGTAGAGTAGAGTAGAGTAGAGTAGAGTAGAGTAGAGCAGAGTAGAGTAGAGCAGAGTAGAGCAGAGCAGAGTAGAGCAGAGTAGAGTAGAGTACAGAGCAGAGTAGAGTAGAGCAGAGTACAGAGCAGAGTAGAGTAGAGTACAGAGCAGAGTAGAGTAGAGTAGAGTAGAGTAGAGTAGAGCAGAACAGTTCTTCTCCCTCTCTGCTGCTTTATGAATCCTGTGCGAGGCTTAAGATCTCATAAAGCGAACTGTCGCCTGCTTACTTACAAATAAGACAGAAGTGGGTTTTGGTTGCGACGCAGCGAGAGCAGATCTGCAGCCGACGCACAGAGCCTCATTTCAATACGTTATTAATACTTTGCCTAAACTCGGTCTGGACGCGACAGCTAGCGGGATTAGCCCCAGGAATTTAATAAAAAGTGTGCATGTGTCTGAGTTCTCACAGATAGTTTGGGTCTGGTTGGAGTTATGACGGATGCGCGCCTCTTTATGCAAACACATGTACCGCGTTTAATGGCTCAGGGCGGGTTTTCACTTCGAAATGGCCGCAATTTAGCATCAAAGGAGAACGAGGCCGATGCGGCGACCGGAGGAGCGGCTCGGCAGATGTGGGAGACCAGACGAGCGCGTGACAATTATACAACTTTCAAACCGCAATTTGTTATGAAGTTTATGCCTTTCTCTGGTCTCTCTCTGGTCTCTCTCTGGTCTCTCTGGTCTCTCTCTGGTCTCTCTCTGGTCTCTCTCTGGTCTCTCTCTGGTCTCTCTCTGATCTCTCTCTGGTCTCTCTCTCTGGTCTCTCTCTGGTCTCTCTCTGGTCTCTCTGGTCTCTCTCTGGTCTCTCTCTGGTCTCTCTCTGGTCTCTCTGGTCTCTCTCTGGTCTCTCTCTGGTCTCTCTGGTCTCTCTCTGGTCTCTCTCTGGTCTCTCTCTGGTCTCTCTCTGGTCTCTCTCTGGTCTCTCTGGTCTCTCTCTGGTCTCTCTCTGGTCTCTCTGGTCTCTCTCTGGTCTCTCTCTGGTCTCTCTGGTCTCTCTCTGGTCTCTCTCTGGTCTCTCTCTGGTCTCTCTGGTCTCTCTCTGGTCTCTCTCTGGTCTCTCTCTGGTCTCTCTGGTCTCTCTCTGGTCTCTCTCTGGTCTCTCTCTGGTCTCTCTGGTCTCTCTCTGGTCTCTCTCTGGTCTCTCTGGTCTCTCTCTGGTCTCTCTCTGGTCTCTCTCTGGTCTCTCTCTGGTCTCTCTCTGGTCTCTCTGGTCTCTCTCTGGTCTCTCTCTGGTCTCTCTCTGGTCTCTCTCTGGTCTCTCTCTGGTCTCTCTCTGGTCTCTCTCTGGTCTCTCTCTGGTCTCTCTCTGGTCTCTGTCTGGTCTCTGTCTGGTCTTTCTCTGGTCTCTCTCTGGTCTCTCTCTGGTCTCTCTCTGGTCTCTCTCTGGTCTCTCTCTGGTCTCTCTCTGGTCTCTCTCTGGTCTCTCTCTGGTCTCTCTCTGGTCTCTCTCTGGTCTCTCTCTGGTCTCTCTCTGGTCTCTCTCTGGTCTCTCTAGTCTCTACGCCCTTGCCCCAGCTGGTCTGGCCTGGGTCTCAGTGTGTGGAGGTGGTCTGGTATGGCCTGGCTCATCTTGGATGCAGTGGTCTGTTTGATACATGGGCCTGAAGCAGCAATTTCCCTTTCCCCACTCTCCCCCAGCCTCCCCCTCTCTCTCCCACTCTCTCCCACTCTCCCCCAGCCTCCCCCACTCTCTCCCACTCTCTCCCACTCTCCCCCAGCCTCCCCCACTCTCTCCCACTCTCCCCCACACTCCCCCACTCTCCCCCAGCCTCCCCCACTCTCTCCCACTCTCTCCCACTCTCTCCCACTCTCTCCCACTCTCCCCCAGCCTCCCCACTCTCTCCCACTCTCTCCCACTCTCCCCCACCTCCCCCACTCTCCCCACTCTCCCCCACACTCCCCCACTCTCCCCCAGCCTCCCCCACTCTCTCCCACTCTCTCCCACTCTCTCCCACTCTCCCCCAGCCTCCCCCACTCTCCCCCAGTCTCCCCCAGCCTCCCCCACTCTCCCCCAGTCTCCCCCAGCCTCCCCCACACTCCCCCAGCCTCCCCCACTCTCTCCCACTCTCTCCCACTCTCCCCCAGCCTCCCCCACTCTCTCCCACTCTCTCCCACTCTCCCCCAGCCTCCCCCACTCTCTCCCACTCTCTCCCACTCTCCCCCAGCCTCCCCCACTCTCTCCCACTCTCTCCCACTCTCCCCCAGCCTCCCCCACTCTCTCCCACTCTCCCCCAGCCTCCCCCACTCTCTCCCACTCTCTCCCACTCTCCCCCAGCCTCCCCCACTCTCCCCCAGTCTCCCCCAGCCTCCCCCACACTCCCCCAGCCTCCCCCACTCTCTCCCACTCTCCCCCAGCCTCCTCCACTCTCCCCCAGTCTCCCCCACTCTCCCCCAGTCTCCCCCACTCTCCCCCAGTCTCCCCCACTCTCCCCACTGCCCACTCCTGTCATTGGCTTCAGCCCAGACTTTAGTTTTGATCCTGCACCAGGAAAAAAAGTTGTGGGAAAGAGACGCGGAGGAAGTTTGGAATAGTTTGGAACATTTAGCATTAGCATTAGCATTAGCGCTAGCACAGATGGTCCTAAACCCAGAGCACAGGGCCTTCTCTGTGGTCTTAAATCCAGAGCACAGGGCTCTCTCTGAAGCGGAAACTCTCCCTGAGGCTCAAACTTTAGCGGCTCGGCCCTAAACCCTGGCTCCTCCGGCTCCGATGGGTGGCTTCCTCTCGGCCTCCCCTCTCTGCCTCCTCTGTGCATCCTCTTGGTCCCTCTCGGCCCCTCTCCGCCTCCTCTCTGCCTCCTCTCTCGACCTCCTCTCGGCCCCTCTCGGCCTCCTCTCTGCCTCCTCTCTGCCTCCTCTCTGCCTCCTCTCTCGACCTCCTCTCGGCCCCTCTCAGCCTCCTCTCTGCCTCCTCTCTGCCTCCTCTCTCGACCTCCTCTCGGCCCCTCTCGGCCTCCCCTCTCAGCCTCCTCTCTGCCTCCTCTCTGCCTCCTCTCTCGCCCCCTCTCTGCCTCCTCTCTGCCTCCTCTCGGTCTCCCCTCTCGCCCCCTCTCTGCCTCCTCTCAGCCTCATCTCTGCCTCCTCTCGGCCCCTCTCTGCCTCCTCTCGGCCCCTCTCTGCCTCCTCTCGGCCTCCTCTCGGACCCTCTCGGCCTCCTCTCGGCCTCCTCTCTGCCGCCTCTCTGCCCCCTCTCTGCCCCCTCTCTGCCCCCTCTCTGCCCCCTCTCTGCCCCTCTCTGCCCCTCTCTCTCTGCCTCCTCTCTGCCTCCTCTCTGCCTCCTCTCGGCCCCTCTCTGCCTCCTCTCGGCCTCCTCTCGGCCTCCTTTCGGCCTCCTCTCGGCCTCCTCTCGGCCTCCTCTCGGCCTCCTCTCGGCCCCCTCTCGACCTCCTCTCGGCCTCCTCTCGGCCTCCTCTCGGCCTCCTCTCGGCCTCCTCTCGGCCCCTCTCTGCCTCCTCTCGGCCTCCTCTCGGCCTCCTCTCGGCCTCCTCTCGGCCTCCTCTCGGCCTCCTCTCGGCCTCCTCTCGGCCTCCTCTCGGCCTCCTCTCGGCCTCCTCTCGGCCCCCTCTCGGCCTCCTCTCGGCCTCCTCTCGGCCTCCTCTCGGCCTCCTCTCGGCCACCTCTCTGCGCCCTCTCTGCCCCCTCTCTGCCCCCTCTCTGCCTCCTCTCTGCCTCCTCTCGGCCTCCTCTCGGCCCCCCCTCACGGCCCCCCCTTGGCCCCCCCGTGACCCCTCTTCGGCGGGGCTACGGCGGTGCACGCGATGGCGAGCCCGGCCTGTGGCCCCAGATGGCGGTGGAGGTTGTGGGTTTGAAGCTGCTGTTGTTATGCCTGCCGGCCTCCCGCGCCGTAATGAAAGCAAAACACTTGGAAATTCCCACATTATTAAATACAACATGTGGAGGCTGCAGGCGGGACTCTGTCACGCTATGGCCCAGATCAGCACGGTTTGATGATCTGACATGAGCCGGCCTGGGATCGAGGCCCCGCACCCGGCAACACAAACACAACCCTCATCAAAGGGACACGCAACTCAGTCTGGGTTAAAGGCAGGGTCCGTAATCCTAGAGCTCTCATGGACTCACACAATCACACTTTAGTGGCTGCTCTGTGGTCTCAAACCCAGAGCCTTCTCTATGGTCTCAAACCCAGAGCCTTCTCTATGGTCTCAAACCCAGAGCCTTCTCTATGGTCTCAAACCCAGAGCCTTCTCTATGGTCTCAAACCCAGAGACTTCTCTATGGTCTCAAACCCAGAGCCTTCTCTGTGGTCTCAAACCCAGAGCCTTCTCTATGGTCCTAACCCCAGAGTCTTCTCTGTGGTCCTAAACCCAGAGCCTTCTCTGTGGTCCTAAACCCAGAGTCTTCTCTGTGGTCCTAGCCCCAGAGCCTTCTCTGTGGTCCTAAACCCAGAGCCTTCTCTGTGGTCCTAAACCCAGAGTCTTCTCTGTGGTCCTAAACCCAGAGTCTTCTCTGTGGTCCTAAACCCAGAGCAGAGAGCCTTCTCTGTGGTCTTAAACCCTAACCCTTCTGTCCAAATCCTCTGTTCTCAAACTCGTAAACGTCACAGAGCTGTCACAGAGCTGTCACAGAGCACTTCCCACACTGAGCTCTCGACCCGTTTACGAGATCCCAACTCTGCTAAAATTCCAAACGCCAAATTTTCCGTTGATTTACAGAAGCAGAAGAAACGCTTTGATCCAAGACGCTGGGTCATCCAGGGGCCAGAGACCAGAGCGAGACCAGAGAGAGACCAGAGAGAGACCAGAGACCAGAGAGAGACCAGAGAGAGACCAGAGAGAGACCAGAGACCAGAGAGAGACCAGAGAGAGACCAGAGACCAGAGAGAGACCAGAGACCAGAGAGAGACCAGAGAGACCAGAGAGAGACCAGAGACCAGAGAGAGACCAGAGAGAGACCAGAGACCAGAGAGAGACCAGAGAGACCAGAGAGAGACCAGAGCGAGACCAGAGACCAGAGACCAGAGAGAGACCAGAAAGAGACCTGACCATCTTAGCAACACGTCTGCTCCTGAGAATCTAACGCTGTCGGAACACATGCCCAAATAAGGAAATCAGCTTCTTCTGCATTAAGGCCAACTCTGTGATGTCACACTGTGGTGATGTAGCACTGTGGTGATGTCACACTGTGGTGATGTCACACTGTTATGTCACACTGTTATGTCACACTGTTATGTCACACTCTGGTGATGTCACACTGTGGTAATGTCACTCTGTGGTGATGTCACAGTGTGGTGATGTCACACTGTGGTGATGTCACACTGTGGTGATGTCACACTGTGGTGATGTCAGACTGTGGTGATGTCACACTGTGGTGATGTCACACTGTGGTGATGTCACACTGTGGTGATGTCACAGTGTGGTGATGTCACAGTGTGGTGATGTCACACTGTGGTGATGTCACAGTGTGGTGATGTCACACTGTGGTGATGTCACAGTGTGGTGATGTCACACTGTGGTGATGTCACACTGTGGTGATGTCACACTCTCCTGTTGGCTGTTACTGTAGATTAGACCCCGAGGTTTCGCTGCTGAAATGTGAAGTTTCGCGCCGCAGTCCCGGTTCAGTCCCGGTTCAGTCCCGGTTCAGTCCCGGTTCAGTCCCGGTTCAGTCCCGGTTCAGTCCCGGTTCAGTCCCGGTTCAGTCCTGGATCAGTCCTGG